CGCGCCCTACCCCCTATCACCGAACTAGCCATCATCACACCCTCGCACGCCTGCAACCTACCCTGCACCCAGCCGACTCCGCCTCCCTTCTCCTGCACCCGTCGAGCCTACAGCAGCCTACACCCCCCCTCTGCGCCGCCCCTCTTCTGCAACCAAATCTCTCTGCGCCGCCCTTCTTCTGCAACCAGATCCTGCACCCCAAGTGGCAGCCAACTGAGCATGATGGTAGACCAGCGTCCTTTAGGGTTTCCTTTGATTTTTGTATAAATAAGTGGTTTTAGGATAGCTAAGGTCTTTGGTTTTTGGTGGTTCTGGTGTTGACGGCGGAGGAGTCTTTTTGTTTTTCTGGTGTTGCCGGCGGAGAAAAGGAAAAGTTTTCTGTTGAAAGGGGCTCGGTTTTTGTACCGGAGGTTGACGGAGGGCTTATTTGCTGTGTTTGCTTTTGTGTAGGTAATTTTCTAAACAGAGAAGTTTTTCTGGGAATGGTGGTGAAGGGGACGATGGGAGCCTGGTCCCGTGGGTGGGATCCCTCCCATCAGATCTGGGTCTATTTTTCCCAGAAAACTTTGCCGTGAGTGTTGATCTGTTTGTTGATTTTTCTTTGTATTTTTCATTTAATGTTTAAGGTTATATGTATTTTCTTGAGAAAATGAATGAAAGATTATATATATTTGCCTGTTTAGTTGCCTGATGAATCTGCGAATCTGTGAATCTTTTGACGAATTTGTGAATCTGTGAATCTTTTTGCTGGAAATGACATGAACTCTAGTTTTCTGTTTTGTCTGCATGTTTTAATCTTTTCTTTGCCTATTTTCTCACTCGGATTATGTTTGTGGGTTGGGTTGACCCGACCCAACCCAATAGGTTAATTAAAAAACAAAAAAAAACTAAGAAAGGTTAAAAAGTAATAAAAAAAAATTTAATAATATAAAATTATTAATTAATTAAAAAAAAGTTAGTTTAATTTATAATTAATGAAATTAAAATAAATTAATCATATTTATTGAGTTTGATTTGAGATGATTAGATTTATTTAGTTATTTCAATTGATGATTAGTAAACATGATTAATTAATTTTAATTAATTTTAATTAATTTTAATTAATATTAAGTTAATTATTTAATTAAGTTAATTTATTTTGATTAATTAATTTTAATTTTCAATTAACTTTAATCTTGGTCAAAGTAAAAGTTTTCTTTTATTTTATCTCAATTTCACCCACAAGTTTTTATGATTAAGCAATTCAGTCCCAAAGTTTCAAATCTTTTTAAATCAGTCTTTCATGTTTTCGAACTTAATCAAATTAGTCCCTTCAATGTTATTTGTGTTTATGATGCATGCTTGTCTTTGATTTTGTCCATTTTAGCCCAAAAATTAAAAAAATGTTTCAATTTGGTTTACCCTTCTTTCAAGCTTGCCTATTTAAGACTCAAACATAAACACAACGAGTAAGTCGAATCAAAACCCCAATTTTAAAGTATGCAACCGTGTTTAAACGAAGGATTGTGAGGTGCGCGTATGCCCTTCCTCACTCCTAACCGAACCCTCGGACCCCGATCTCTGCGTAAATCTATTTTTAGGTAACTTGTCCCACCTTATAATTTGGACGAGTGGCGACTCCCCCTTTTCTCCTTTTATATCTTCACACTTAATCCCATTTTAAGTGGTCGTCAACAGTGAGTAGTTAGTGACATATAAGAAAGTCTTTGTTTTGATGTTTATGTGTTAGTGGTGAGAGAGACCCGATGCTGGCTCTTAGCAAAGAATGACTTCAATTTTTTCTTCTCATCATCATAAATTTTTAAGCAATCTCTAGTTAAACCTCTTCTAGAAGGAACCTCAAAATCACGAGGAAAAGCAACCTAACAAAATTTCCTAAAACCTGCCTTCTCTACAATACAAAAAGGAAGCTCATCCATTATTACCCACATGGCTAAAGCCTTCCTAACAGCTACTGCATCAAACTTCCAGTTCGTCATTAAAATAACCTCATTTCCATGATCATCATCAACAGTTTTAAATTTAATCATGCTTTGCTTCAGGTTCTGTTTAGGTTTGTTCTCAAGATGAAGTTTGCAATAATTAACATGATTTAGCAGACGTGAAGTCCCATTCTTCCTGTTGTCAACAGGAACAAGTGTCTTGCAATACTTACACTTGCCCATTTTCTTTTCCCTAACCATGATCAGAATAAAGTGATTCCATGTAGGAGATCTTAATTGGGGTTCTTGATTTACAAGAACAAGACTATCAATAATAGGGACAGGCACATGACCCTCATTACTATTAGCTGTAGTATCTTCAACATGAGATTTTCTTTTTCTTTGATTTTTAGATGCAAAACCAGAACCAATATTACTAGCTTCATTCACTGGAGTGGGTGCCTCAACCTCTTGCTTAGTTTGATTATAATTAACGTCCTCATTTTCCTATCATTATAATTCAACTCTAACTCAGCAAGAATATCTTCATAGCAATTATGATAAATTAAATCATAATTCTAAATTTATAAATCAGAATCATAAATAAATAAAATTATAGAATAACATAGATTACCATATCCGTATCAATTTCGAAGAAAGCATTCCCAAGAGCCTCGAAGATATTAGCATTAGCACTAGTTGCAATGTCCAAGTTCTCATGAGAATCCTTTAATTCTATATTGTCTAAAAAAAAAGCCAAATAATCCAAAAAAAAAAAAAAACAAAAACAAAAACAAAATTAGTAGTAACATGTAATGAAAATTTTTGAGAGAGTTGAATTTCACCTAAACTTTACTTGGCATTTTGATGAAATTATGGAGTTAGAACTAGAAGATGAACACCTGCACCATAAAGTAACAAAGTCATGGTTTATATTATATGAATTAGATTATACAAGCATACTATTTCCATTAATATTAGTATTTTCTTTGAAAATAAGTTTCATTTTATAAATACTAAGTTTCCTCTTGGAAACAAGGTTAGTTCATTAAGATCTAGATCAAGACTTCATTAAAGACATGGCAAACCAACACTTTGAAAATAGAGATTAGATAGCAAGATTATCGGTCCATGGTTCTCTACAACGCTGGACAACTAGACATTGTAACCATCCAAGATTTCAATAAGTAAAACATCAGGGAGTAGTAATGGAGTAGCATAGGAAATATGGTACAGCAATTTAACATTGCCAATCTCACTTTATAGGCCAATGCATTCTTTCTTCAATTATGAAACATTGATCCAAAGAAGTCATGTTTCATATGGAAATGGGGATCGACCATGTGACATGATACACCAGTATTCAACCCAAGCTCCACTAAATGTGCCAGTAATTTGCTTTCCCTTACTTCTTTCTTGGCCACTTAATCAATTTTCAAGTACAAACATGCATATTTAACAACTAAGAAGGTTACCTGAAAAGGCCTCTACGTTAGTTCAGCAATCACCATTTTCCCATAACAATCAATCACAAAAATCATTTTATTATTGAAAGGCATACTGTTCTTCATCATCTTGAAGCATATAAATATATAATTATACAAGACAT